TTTTGTTTTGCTGGTATTTTAGTTTAGAGAGACGTTTTGGCTGTTTTTACTAAAAAATGAGTGAAGTTTCTTGAGTGCCAGTACAGGGCCTTCAGTATAGTCTTTCCAGGATAATTACTAAAAATGCATGTGTTAGATTTGCCTGGTAGATCCAAGGTACTTTGGGAACAGCCTTTTGTTTTTTATATGAACAGAATGTTTTGATAGTGCCAAAAGGATGATACCCCTTTTCAAAGTGTTGTTAGGTGTGGTGGACTCCCAAAACATAACTGATGGGTAGTGAAATTAGGGAGGAGTTGGACACTTGTGTGAACTCCTAGCTCTCATCCTTGTGGAGACAGTAAGTACAGTGAGGTTTGTGACACTCCTGGTAGTGAGAACACCAAGCCCCTAGGGTGTAGTTTTACTGTTCTCCAATTAAAGGATCCCGGGCCTTTTGGAGAAATGGTTGATTGTAAGGCTGGGATGGAGAATACAAGGTAAGCCTAAAGCATCTCAGAAAGTGCCAGAAAGTAAGAAAGTGCTCAAAAAACATCAGGATGGGCCGTGTCAGAGGATGTAGAGACCAACTGGAAAGTGTACCCAATAGCCAACGTTGTGACAATTTGAGCCACAAAATAAGTAATAGTAATTTATAATCCAAAGGATAAAATATCCATGAGTTCGTACTGATAAAAAAGGGGGTGGAGGGGCAAATCTTTCTTACAGAAGAATTCCAATTAATGTAGAAGAAATGAAGAAACTAGCAAGTCACCATTAGAATACCACAATAATAATTGTTTCAGGCAAGATGCATTGATGAAGGGTAAAATCAGTGACAAACTTTAAGGTAAAACACCATAATTATACAGCCTCAAAATATCTCCCCCCAAATGTTCATGACTGGTGGTTTTAACATATGTCTAAAGTTCTTTGATATCCCTTACTCCAAGAAGTGGAGCTTAATTCCCCTTCCCTTGACTGTGAGTTGGACTTAGTGATTCATTTCAATAAATAGAATAATGAAAGAGAAAAATAATAACTTTATAGTGGAGAAACCAGGCAGACCAAATGATGATGGTGAACATCACCAGTAATAAGTCATATTGATGTCATGGAGTCCCTGAGATGATGGGATGAGATACCTAAACTCCACAGCCTCAGTGTCATCGTCAGAGAACATCAGGCAGGCCCACACTGAGGGGTATTCACAGTACCCGACTGGGAGTCTTCAGAAGTGTCAAGTCATGAAAGACAAGGAAATACACTAAGAAATCATCACAGCTTTGGAGAAGACAGAAAGGGAGTCTTGATGACTGAATGCAGTGTGATATGGTGGATTGGATCCTGGACAGGAAAAGGACATTAGTGGAAAAACTGTTGAAATTATGGTGCAGTCTGCAGTTTAGGTAGCAATATACCAGTATTAATTTGCTAGCTTGATAAATGTACCATGGTTATGTAAGGTGTTAACATTAAGAAAAGCTAAGTGAAGGAGGTTTGGAATTTCTCTGTATTATCTTTGCAACACTTGTGTAGCTCTAAAATTGTTAACAACTATAAACTTTTTTTTAGAAAAGGGGTGATGCGTAGACCAGTGAAAGCCTTGCTCTCCATTTCTTGAATTGTGAGGTAACACTTTCTTCCAGGGTTTATTTTCCTATGTTTTTCTTTTTCTAATTCTTTCTGATTATAAAAATGATGCAGAAAATGTAAGAAAAACTGACAAGCATAAAATAAAATTAACCTACTTTCTTAACTTACAGAGTACCAGCCACTGCCCACATTTTGTTGTATATCCTTCCAGTATTTTTCTTATGCATGTGTATATGATTTTTAAAATGAAACTGGAATCATTTTATTATGAAGAAAAAGAAAAAGGAATGAGCTTTGAATCCATACGGAGCAAGGTTCTCTTGTGGCTCCATCTCTTCCTATCTCTGTCATTCTGTACCAGTCAGCCCTTTCAACTCGCCTTCCCTCATTCATGCAACAGTTTGTTCTTCAAATAGTTGTTGAGCATGTATGTACTGTTCTAGGCTCTGAGAATACATTAATGAGCAAAGCCAAATCCCTTCTCTCCTGTAGCTTATGTTCTGGTCGGGGAGATTCAGTAAATAAATATGGCTTACTGTAAGTGTCCTGAAGAAAGAGTAAAGCTAGTAAGTAAAAGGACAGAGAATGGTGGTTCGAAAAAATGGAATGTTATTTTATATAATCAGTGAAGACATCTCTGATAAGGTTACAGTAACAAATCTGAATGGATTTAGGTGGTGATACTAGAGGGGATAGCTTTCCAAGTAGAGAAAGCAAACACCCCCTAGTGAGAGCATGCTTCCTGTGTTGAGAGAAAAGATTGGAGAAGAGTAAGCTGGGAAGAAAGTGGTAGTATTTCAGGTGAGTGAGGGACCAGCTCAAGTAGGGCCTGTATGCCAGGAAAGGACTTTGGATTTACTCTTAGATTGTGCAGAGGTGATGTGATCTTGTTTATGTGTTTAAGTAGAAAATAGACATGGGAGCAGTGGGCAGGGTCATATCAGGGATATCTTTTAAGAGGCTTCTAGAATTGTCCAGGCAAGAATTGTTGATGTGAACTAGCATTGTAGTACTGGAAGTAATGAGGAGTGTGTTCCTTGATATATTTTCAAAATGGTACTGACAGTATCTGTTGATGGATTGGATATAGTATGTGAGAAAAAGAGGAGTCAAGTATGATTGCTGGTTTGGCCTAATCATTGAGAAGGAAGGGTTGGCATTTTCTGGGATGGAGACTGCTGGAGGGCATGTTTGGAGTAGAAATCAAGTCTTTCTTTTGGATGGGTTAACTTGGAGATGCCTGTCTGGCATTTAAGTAGAGATGTTGAAGGGGCAGTTAGAGCAGGGGAGTTTAAGGGAAAATTAAAGGCTGGTGGTACAATTCACTGTTATCTAGATAATATTTTAAGATTTGAGATAAAATTAGGTTGTAAGAGGAGGCAACTTAAGGGAAAAAGGCTGCTGACTGGAAAGGACACTCAAGAATTTTGGAAGTTAAATGAGGAGAGTTCAGTAGGGAGCTGGGAAAGGAGAGCCAAGTGAAAAAAAAAAGGTTTTCAAAAGTAAAACATGATTACTGTCAATTGTAGGTGGTAAGTTAAATGAGAACCAAGAAATGACATCTAGGTTTGGCAGTTAGGTGGACTTGGAAGTAAAAGTGTCACTGATGTGGTGGGCCTGAAAGGCAAGAGTAGATTCCAGAGTGGGTCAGGCAGCTGTAGGAAATTTCAGGCCCAGATGATTTCCCTGGAGAGTAATATCAAATAGTTGTTTGGAGTTTTGCTGTAAAAGGGAAGAGAGAAATGGAGCTATATCTGAAAAACATTTGTTAGTAGTATTATTTACCATAGGGACATTTTGGTAGGATGGCTTCATTTTAAGGAGAGGATTTAATGTATATGTAGGATATATAACTGGCCTACTAGTTAAGCATTGGGATTTGGACTTAGATAGCCAGGATTTAAATTTGACCCAATTGTATGGTTTTGTTACCTGAAGGAAAAGTTACTCAGATTTACTGAATTTTGACTTCATCGTTTGTAATTAATAGTGAAAGTGGTATCTCATAAGGATTAAATGAATTCGTGCTTTGAAAGAGCATTACAGTCAACTGTATTGTACTTCCTGGTAACTCTTTCTGGGTCTTAGAAGAGAACACTACAGTTTTGGCTTTTCATTATTCAAGCGAAGAGATGAGCAGTCTCCATATAAATACTGTAGATAGATTCTGTTTAATCCACTATTCATTGATAAATGTAAAACTGTGTGTTTTCTTTTCCCTTTATTAAATCAGGAGAAAAGGTGGTTAACTTAAAATTGACAAGGAGCAGCTTTTGGACGGTATGGTGCTGGGCATTGTGGATGGGTGGAGGAGAGAGGATTTCACTTCATCCACCAGAAGGTGGCATTTCCGTTTTCACATAAACTTATGCTCCCACCTCCTACTTGCATGTGTTGATTTCCCCTGGACTGACTTGGTGAACATGCTGCTTTGAAACATTTCATATTGGTTGGGGGTTGAGTTGCTTCATTACGTAGACAGGTTACCTATTGTTTTCATTCTTCAGTGAGGCTTTATTTTTATTGGGTGTTTAGAATAGATTTAATACATTTTTAGAGCTGCCAAAAATAAATATAATAGGTAGTGTCCTGGGGCTACAAATAGATTCGCTGGGCTCTGATCAAACACTACCTTTGGCAGGCTCTTCAGTACTTGCTAAATTCTCATGCTTGGCTTGTTTACTTAAGTTCTTAGAAGTTCTCAATAATAAAAACTTTGGGCAGATTCATTCCAGCACAACTCTCTGACTGATTGACCCTTTATCTACAGAATGTTTTAACTGTTATTTATGCCCCCCAAACCACTCTTAAAAACAACAAAAAAGGTAGATATTTTTGTATTTTATTTATTCCTAAGTCTAATTTTTCAGAGTTACTGATACTAATCCAGTGAAGTTAAATACATTTCTGGCCTTCCTGCTGCCTTAATAATTACTATTAAAGACTGTACAATTAAATTAATTTAGATAAGGCCCAGTTCCACAACTTGTCAAGTAAGGTAAGTAACTGGACTGTGTATAGCTTCCATTTGCCCTTCTGTCTTCTCTTTGGGTTAAGTAGCTTCTCTGACCATGGAGATTGAAACGAAAAGGAGATTTTTTAGGACTCCTGGATTTTGTTCTTTGGGGAAGATTAAGGAAATGATTGGAAATTACTTTCTTTCACTAATACTTAAGGGAGTGGGGGCTGTCAGCTTTCTTTTTTATAGTGGTAGCTATTTTTGGTATGCTGTTTTACTCTTAGTTCTTCCCTTTCTATTTCAGAGTCTGAGAAAGAGGAGAAACCACAAAGCACTGTCATACCCAAGGAAGTGACACCAGCCCTGTGCTCACTCATGAGCAGCTATGGCAGTCTCTCCGGGTCAGAGAGTGAGCCAGAAGGTAAGTCAGGGCCACATCCTTTCATGTGTATGTACCTGAGGACAGGGTGTGTCATGCACATTCTTTATTTGATCCTCAAATTCCCTTTTCATTTGATTCAGAAGTAAAGGTAACATAGGATAAAGGAAAGTTGGAGAGATGGGGAAATGTGTTGCTACTTTGGGAGATAAAGGCAAAAATGATGTAATGAAAGAACAGGAAAGAGAAGAGATAATATCTACTAATGGTATCTAAGAAAATCCTAAAAGATATAGCTAATTTTTTCTCTCTACTCTCAAGAACCCTTGTCATAACATGTTTAGCACCTTTGGTAGGTGGAGAGAGGCCTTTATGACAAAGAAGATGATAGGATTCCTTACATGTGTATAGGGCATTCATCTTTATAGAGCACATTTACATAAATTATCTCATTTGGAGAACACAGTAACGTGATGTGTGTGGTTATATTAGCCTGTGTGGTTTTTTTAATTCATTTTATTATCATTAATCTACAATTACATGAAGACATTATGGTTACTAGACTCCCCCCTTCACCAAGTCCCCCCCTGACAAACCCTGTTACAGTCACTGTCCATCAGCGTAGTAAGATGCTGCAGACTTACTACTTGTCTTCTCTGTGTTGCACATCTCTCCCTATACACCCCCCCTGACAATGTACATGCTAATTGTAAGGTCCCCTTTCTTTTTCCCTGCCTTATTCCTCCCTTCCCACCCCTACTGCCCAGTCCCTTTCCATTTGGTAACCATTAGTCCATTCTTGGGTTCTGTGATTCTCCTGCTATTTTGTTCCTTCAGTTTTTCTTTGTTTTATACTCCACATATAAGTGAAATCATTTGGTACTTGCCTTTCTCCACCTGGCTTATTTCACTGAGCATAATACCCTCTAGCTCCATCCATGTTGTTGCAAATGGTAGGATTTGTTTTCTTCTTATGGCTGAATAATATTCCATCGTGTATATGTACCACATCTTCTTTATCCTCTTCATCTATTGATGGACATTTAGGTTGCTTCCATTTCTTGGCTATTGTAAATAGTGCTGCAGTAAACATAGGGGTGCATCTGTCTTTTTCAAACTGGAGTGCTGCATTCTTAGGGTAAATTCCTAGAAGTGGAATTCCTGGGTCAAATTGTATTTTTATTTTGAGCTTGTTGAGGAACTTCCATACTGCTTTCCGCAATGGTTGAACTAATTTTCATTCCCGCCAGCAGTGTAGGAGGGTTCCCCTTTCTCCGCAACCTCACTAACATTTGTTGCTGTTTGTCTTTTGGATGGTGGCGATTCTTACTGGTGTGAGGTGATATCTCATTGTGGT